GTGATCCACACATGCCTGAGAGTTAATTCTTCCTCTTTCCTCAGTACTATTGAGAAAGCTGAGGCTCAAAGATGTTCAGAATCTTGTCAAAAAGTTCACATATAGCTAGCCCTGAGGCTTGGTAACTTAATTTTTAAAGCCTGCTTTGAAGCTGAATAACTTACGTGTTTGATAGTGATAATCTGTGACTGTGATTCTAACATACTGGATCCATAGAAAATATTTTGAGCAGGCCTACATCAATCCTTTGCTGGCCCTCTTGGTCAGGGCAGTTTATTCTTGAGTGTGGTTAAAGAGATACTCCAATTAGAGTCCAGCCCCAAACACATAACAAAACAGTGTGTGGTGTAGGCTCAAACCAAAATTATTTCAATCAATTTTATTTCATGGAAAAATCAAGTCTGTTTATAAAGACACACAGACCAGCACAAAAAAATAAACTTTCTGAATAAAACATAGATATTGGGTTTTGAGTTTGGTTTTTGATTCTTTTGCCTAAATGTGGATACATACACTTCTGATGAGAAAGATATCTCCCTAATTAATACTGTTGGTGAGTTGCTCTCCAGTTAATCAAAATTATATTTCATTGAGAATTTTGTTTGCTTTTTATAAATTGGTTAGTGGCATTTGCATTTCTTAAGGCTGGTTCAAAAATAGGTACTACAGTTTTGTTTATGTACATAATATACAGAATCCTACATAATATGTATCAAATATATAGTTCATGTCTCTGAGGATAAACAAAATATATAAGTGATTGTTAAGATTTCCTGACACCATGATTTTAACGGTATTTTCTGTACTTTGAGCTTAACAATAGATCTAATGTATACTCTGTCACAGTTGCTCACCCTCTGAACGATTAGTATTTTGAATCAGATAGACATTTACTGTGGCAAAATATTTTGTGCATTATAAAATTTGTAGTGTCTCTGGCTTATTCCCTCCAGGTATCACTCTCTCTCTCTCTCTCTCTCTCTCTCCTCTCTCTCTCTCTCTCTCTCTCTCTCTCTCTCTCTCTCATGATAATCTCCCTCCCCTTCAATTGGGATGAGCAAAATGTCTCCCGTCATTGGCAAAAGGCAACTTATAGAAGACAGAAGATGTTATCAATCCTTTCAAAGTGTGATATGATGATAAATCAAAACACTGGGTTCAGGGGAGGGAGAGGGTTAAAAATGGGTTGCAAGAGCCCAACAATGAATGAATCATTCATTTATGAGCTAAACCGTCACTAAGAAAAAATGCTGACCTGGAACACACATTTGAGAGTTGAGACGCCTCCAGAACACATTCTAGGCTGTGCTGGTGGGCTTTGGTGCTCTTTCTGGGAATGATTTTGTAATTTTCTGCTATCACTGACTTCTGTGTTTATGTCTTACCTTTTCCATGAAATTTGATGAGTAGATTATGTCTTTCCTGGATCACATGTAATCACATTTTTTTATAGTTGTATACTAACAATTCTGTTTGGCTCATTAAAATATCTTTTCAAGTTTGAATCAAAATGCTTAGTTTGACATTCTCTCTCTCTCTCTCTCTCTCTCTCTCTCTCTCTCTCTCTCTCTCTCTCTCTCTCTCTCTCTCTTTCTCCCCCCTCTGTGCTGTGTGTGTGTGTGTGTGTGTGTGTGTGTGTGTGTGTGTGTGTGTGTGTGTGTGTGGCTTTCAGGGATAGTTTCTACATAGCCCAAGCTGTCTTCAATCTCAAGATCCTCTAGGCTCTATGTCCCCAGTACTGAGCTCACATGTATGCACCACCATGCCCTGATGCCCAACATCTCTGCATTTCTTATCGTTTCATCTTTGATTTGTTCTCTCCTTGATTTCTTTAAGGAATTTCTTTTCACCCTCCTTTCCTTTGAAGATCTGATTGTGTTCCTCTTTTAGTCAATGTTCCTGATATACTGGCCTTTACCTATTGAGAAAAAAAATGAATCTACTTTGCATTGCTTATGCAAAAAGCTTCAGATAGTTTTTAGGTCCTGTCTTCTGCCTCCCTTTATCCACTGCTATTTCCATCCTTCTGGATGTCTATAATAAGCTTGTGTCCTCAAATTCATTACCTTGGCACCTAGTGTTTGCTTCAAATTTGAGTTTCTGCTGGGAAAACCCTTATCCCTCTTAGTCAACTTTCAAGTCTCCACCAACACAGTACCTTAGCTACAAATCCTTCTTTGATCTGCAGACATATAGTACGGCTGTCTTCTCAGCACCCATTGCATTTGATGTGATGTTTATTTCTAGCACCACAATCTATGTACTTTCTAGACTGTGTTCTTCCTACATGAAAGTTAACTCTTTGAAGACAAAGGCTGTGCAGCCATCTGAATAAACTCAAGCCAACTACGGTGCTTGCCATGTAACACATACTCCTGAATATTGTTTGAATTTACCAGGAGCATAGAGTAAATAAAAACAAAATAGTATGGTAGGAATCAGTTAATTTCATTTTAAACCATAGTTCAGAGATTGAGAGACCGTATATGGCCACAAGCCAAATGTAGCCTGCATATCTGATTTTGTAAATGAAGTTTTATGGAACTATGCCACAATGCATTCTTTTATAAATTATCTATGGCTACTTGAATGCCCCAGAGGCAGTTAAGTTGTTGAGACAGGATCAAATGGCCTACAAAACATGAAATATTTACTGTCTGACTCTTGACAGAAAAGGGTCGCCAATCCCAGCTAATAGGCAATTGAGTCCTCTACAGGTCACATTTTCAAATACTTTTTTAAAAAGGGGTATGTGGTTTCATTGTGACATTTAGATAAAAATCAGTTTCCTTAGATATCCAAACTTCATATCTAAAAGACACAAATATAGGCTAGCAAGATGGCTCAGAGGGCAAATGCACTTAATACTGATCTTGGGGACATGAGTTCAATATAAGGAACCCCAGAATAGAGGAAAAAAATTGATTGTCCTAAGTTGTCCTCTAACCTCCACACATATTCTTTGACATGCCTGTGCCTGCACACATACACACACACACACACACACACACACACACACACACACACACACACACACCAATAAACAATTGTGAAGCAAAATTTAAGGTCACAAACTCATCTAAGATTTCTCATCTGGGGAAAAATGCAAATCACAGACAACATAACATATTGAATACTAGTCTCCAGGGATGTGAATTAGCGGCACAGCCAAGACCTGAGTCTCCAGATCTTAACTGCTTAAACTTGAGCTTGCTCTATTAGACAAAACAAAGGAAAAAAATGTACTGGTCTTGGACTTTTCTTCAGTTGACCAAGTATAGCAGCAGCCTACTCTCTTGGGGAGTACATTTGTTAACTCACTCTTCTCCCCACATTACCCTCCTAGAGCCTACTAAGAACATATGAGTGCTTACTAGCCACTGGATGTTAATTCATATAAGACCACTACCAACAAAATTCCCTCTTGATTGTGGAGGGAATGCTACCTCTTTGAATCCATGGCACTGTGTCTGTTATCTATGATTTGTAGAATGGCCTCTTCAGAAGCAAGGGATAGTGAGTTTCAGAGGAGTGGGAAGTAGTATTTCATGGGTCATCACATTCTCCCAGTCTTCATCATGCTTGGGAACCAGCACTCTCTGTGGGCAACAGAGGTGTGTATGCATACACATAAACGTACTCTTACAGTTGTAGGAAGATATGCTTAGATTTACTGATATATAGCACTTTAAAATCGTGTCTCTATAAATTTGAATGATTAGTGATCATCCATCTGTACATATTTTGTTAAAAATGGCTCATGAAAGTGCTGTAAGCCCTCTTTCCTAAGAGGGCTGGGGGGGTGGGAGGAGGGAGGAGAGGGGGTTGTGGATAGTATGTGGAGTGAGTAGAAAATTTCTTAATAAAGAAAAATGAAAAAAAAATTAGGTTGTAGAATAGCAGCAGAAGGTTTTTAAATACCTTAATGAATATTCAAGATTCAAAAAAAAAAAAGAAAGTGCTGTAAGTAGAAACAGTGGTTACTATTTTACCATCAACTTTAAAGTCATAAGTTTTTAGCTTGGCCCTTAGGATTTGGTGAAAATTACTCAACCTCGCCAAGATACAGGTTCATCTCCAGTACTATACTATCATAATTGTTGATACTATATTACCAGAGTAATATAATGTACCTTAAGCATATATTATATATGTGTTCAGAGTTGAAATAATGTCTGGTGCTCAGTGTTGTTGTGTTCTACATCCACACACAAAACTGACCATGAAGCAAACATTTCCTAAAATGAAAATCTTACATTTGTACTGAACATGTACAGATCTTTCTCCTCTGCCATGAAGCATTATAACAATCATTTATACAGTATCTAAACTGTACTAGGTAGTAAAAGAAATCTAGAAATTATTCAAAGCATGCAAGAGGATATATGTGACAATACTGAGAGTTTAAAATAAAAGTCTTGAACACCTATATATTTGAATAACCACAGGGACTACTGCAAAAGATACCCCAGATACTAAATAAAAATTATATTATTATATAGTACAATTTTGCAATATAATTTATCAATGCTGCCATTATGTTATCAATAAAAAAAATTCTGGCCACCTCAATGGGTTGTTAGATAGATTAAAAAGCACATCGCACAAACAATGACACACAGCACTCTCAAAACACATTTGCCCCCTATATGAGATGTACAATTTTTCCTGTTATGAAGATACACACAAAAAATATTTTCTATATATACCTATAAGAAGAAGTAAGACCCTGGCGACTTCTTTCCACTTGGTTTTCCTTGGTCTATGCATGCATCATGAGTGAGATTTTGACCCAGCAGTCACTTTAGCCAATTGAATTTTTGCAACCATGTGAGAAAATTCATGCTAAACTAAGACAGAATTTGGTTTGGAGACTAGAGAGCCAGCTATGGAACACAAGTGTGAAAATTTGTTTGCCTTTTTTACCACCTAAGAGAGAAGGAAGTTTGTGACAAATGGGTGAACTGTGTAACGCTTCATGTTTTTCCCTTGGCCTGCAGGGTGACTTCACCTGGAACAGCATGTCTGGCCGCAGTGTGCGTCTGAGGTCAGTCCCCATCCAGAGCCTCTCAGAGTTGGAGCGGGCACGGCTGCAGGAAGTGGCTTTTTATCAGTTGCAGCAGGACTGTGACCTGGGCTGTCAGATCACCATCCCCAAAGGTAAGGCCCTGTTCGCAAGTTCTGCCTTTCTGTGGGGGCTCTGCCAGTCAACCACTTGTTCTGCCAAAGCCACAGGGTGCAGATTCTTCTCACGCCTGGCATTAATACAGAATGGAAACTATAGCTTCTTGGTGGGTGGCTGGTATCCCTGTCTATTTTGAAAGACATGTCCAAGCAGGACAGTGTACATGCCAGCTAATTAAAACAGACAAACCAGCAAAATGGTTAACTGGTAGTCTTTCAATGGAAAGCCAGGAATATCTCAAAAGTCTTCATGGCTTCACATCAATCAAGGAGAAAGCATACAGAGAGGTCAACTAAAAGGTTTGGAAGATAATCTGTGACTGATATGTAGGATGAATAGAAAATGTCTTAATTTAAAAAATAAATAAATAAAAAATTATAAAGAAAGAAAAGGTTTGGAAGACAAGCTGGGCCTGTCTCAATTTGATTTCAAAGTCAACAGCTTCGAAGAGTGCCTCGGATCTGTTAAGCTTGCAGGTTTGATTTCGTGCAAACTGAGAATGTTATGGCCGTGAACTCCGTTTGTAGCCAGTCTTTCCTGATGTGCCTGGGTAGTGCTTTGCTACTGTGACACTTGAGCACAGACACTCCTGCTTACCTGGTGCTTTGACACAGGGCCTGATTTCCATAAAGCTGAGAAGGGGGCACCTGAATTCTTTTAGTCCATAGAAGTCTGTCTCTGAACAGTTATTGTAATCTCTAAAGGCAGTTTTTATATTTGCATGAAGCAAAAAATTCACTTGAGGCAGAATGGAAAACCATAATCCATTATGAAGATTATAGTAAACATGTTCATAAAGGTATTTGACCAATACTCTTGAAATTATAAAAAAGTAGAATAGGGACAGCAAGCTTCTGAAATGTACACATGTTATGAATATTTATCTATCAGATATTAAGTCCATGAATACATGTGTGTTATAGTTTATCTCAAAATTCCCCAGAGGTTCATGTGTTGAAGGCTTTATCTCTATTGCTGAGGTATGGCTTTAGGAATGTGATTGGATCCCGAGGCCTCTGACATTTATCAATAGGTTAACCCAATGACAAAAATCATGAGTGAATCGATTATGAGGAGGTGGTGAAAACTGCAAGGGATAGAAGTAAGGGGGATGGGGTAGGTCATTAGAGCATGCATATGAAAGTAAGTCTGGTCCAAGCAAGGCCTCCTCTCTGTCTGCCTCCTTGCCATCATGAACTGTGCAGTTCTGTCCTACCACAATCCTATGATGCTCTGCCTCAAAATAGGTGCAAACATGGGGGATCCAAGTAACCATGGACTGAAACCTATAACACCATATGTATTTGTTCCTTTTCAGGTGTTTACCTCAGGTATTTAGTGGCAGCCACACAGAAAAAAAAACTAACTAGCACAATGTATCACCTGTGTGTGTGTGTGTGTGTGTGTGTGTGTGTGTGTGTGTGTGTGTGTGTGTGTGTAATGTAGTTCTCAAGTAGAGATGATTTTGCCTCCTGTCTCCCAGAGGACATCTGGCAGTTTCTGGCCATGCATTTGGTTATCATACTTTGAGAGAAGGTTCTACTGGCGTCAAGTGGGTTCAAGCCAGAAATACTGCTAAATCACCTATAATACATGTGACAACCTTCCTCAATAGTTATTATCAGGTCCCAAATAGTAAAGGGCCAAGGCTGAGCCACTTTACCTTACATACAAACATATGCTGCCATTCTTCCATTCATGGTGCTGATAGGTCTGTCTTTTGTTTTTGTTTTGCTTCTAGACGGGGCTGTACTAGTTGAGGAGACTACAGGCTAGAATTTAGGAACTCATTTTTTTCATCCCCCCACTGACACACTAGTCATATGGACTTAGATGATTCACCTTTGCAATAGGAGAGTTAGTTCTTGATTTTACAAGCAGCAGCACAAAATTCTGCATACAGACAATTGGGAATCAATCTTCCTCAAGACCCAGCTATACCACTCTTGGGCATATATCCGAGGACTGATCAATCATACCACAGGGACACTTGCTCAACTATGTTCATAGCAGCATTATTCATAGTAGCCAGAACCTGGAAATAACCTAGATGTCCCTCAAGTAAAGAATGGATTAAGAAAATGTAGTACATATACACAATGGAGTACTATTCAGCAGAGAAAAACAGTGACATCATGAAATTTGCAGGCAAATGGATGGAACTAGAAAATATCATCCTGAGTGAGGTAACCCAGATTCAGAAGGACAAACATGGTATGTACTCACTCATAAGTGGATACTAGATGTAAAGCAAAGGATAACCAGACTACAACCCACAGCTACAGAGAAGCTAGCTAACAAGGAGGACCCTAAGATTGCCATGGGAAGGGGAAATAGATGAGATCTCTGTGAATAAGCTGATATAAGGGGTGAGCAATGGAGGGTAGGGGATGGGGGATGAGAACATAAGGGAATGGGATGCTCCGAGCAGGAACAGAGATGGAGTGGGAAAGCAATGAGAGAGATGCCATGACGGAGGGAGATATCATGGGGATAGAGAGTTCCCTGGAATCCCCAAAGATGACCCCAACTTGGACTACTAGAAATAGTGGAGAGGGTGCCTGAACTGAACTGGCTTACTCCAGTGATAAGATCAGTGAATATCCTGTCATCACAGAACTTTTCTCCAGTGACTGATGGAGGCAGATGCAGAGATCCACAACCAAACACCAGGCAGAGCTCCAGGAGTCCAGTAGGGGAGAGAGAGGGGGATTCTATGAGCAAGGGCATGAAGATCATGATGGGGAAACCTGCAGAGATGACCAAACCAAACTAGTGAGAACTCATGAAAGTTGGATCAATGTCTGTAGAGCCTGCATGGGACTGGAGTAGGCCCTCCGCATGGCAAGACAATTGTGTAGCTTAATCTGCTGGGGGGGCCCCTGGTGGTAGAATCAGAATCCATCCCTGGTGCATGAGGGGGCTTTCTGGAGCCCACTACCTATGATGGGACACCTCTTACAGCCTTGAGGCAGGGGGAAGGGCTTGGACTTGCCTCTACTAGATGTGCCTCCCCATGAGAGGTCTTGCCTGCTTGTTGGGGGGAATGGGGAGATGGCCAAGAGCGAGAGGAGGGAAGAGGAGGATCTTTGATTGATGTGTAAAATGAATGAAAAAATTTTCTTTAAAAAAAGAAAAAAATGGAAGATACAAATAAATTATATTTTCTTGGTATCGTTGGAAATAGTGGCTATAACAAAATAGTTTATGTAATTAGGATTGTGATCATTTTGACATTATTGATAGGAATATATGAGTTGAATGCTATCAAAATATTATGCAAAATAGTGGCAGTATAAAATTTTAATATTACTATTTAAAGATAACACTTTGTATTTTCTGTTACTTGGCATTCTATCAGGTTTTGACTTTCAATAAATAAAATTTCCCTACTATAAAAAAAGATTTATTAGTACAGAGTTTGCAATTGGGTGATAAGTCTTAGGGCCATGCCTTGCTTTTTCTTTAGGCTGACATCTGATACTCTGTTTGGGGCTATGGAGTTCAGAATCAAGATACAGCTATGGGCTGGTGAGATTGTATGCCAATAACAGAAGCTGTGGTGCTTTGGCTTTCTTGTCATGATAATCAAAGTCACCTCTGCCATCCCTATTCTCTGTTGTTCCAGTTCATGCAAATCTCACACACAGATATCCTCAGCCCAGATGAAATGTTCTCGTGCAGTTCTGGAAACTGTACTACAGCAACTATCAGGTCATACTACCGTTTCACTTACAGGCTTTCCTGCCTTGCCTGGCCTTGCTTTGCTTATAAAGTGTAGGAGAAACTTGTCCTTCCCACCCACTTAGCTCACAAGTGGCCTATGTAACCACCACCAATAATCCTATCTCCTTTTCATGATCACAAACATTCATGGCATTCCTAAAAAAAAAAAGTGTGAGTTTTGGCAAATGCAGTTTATACTGATAACTTTGAATGATCTTTGAATTTAATGCATATGAGATAAGCTATCAGGAAAGAGATTATTGTTTGTAGCACTACTTTAAAATCTAGTTAATTTGGTGTTTCTCTTTGTTCATGGTTTTGGAAGAGGCCATAAAAGAAAATAGCCATTAGCAAATAGAACTGCTATAAAACTTGTCTGCTAGGGTCTCTGTCTATAACTGTGTGGTTCCAAACACCTTCAAGGAATGATTCATGCTACTGAGTTGTTACAAAATGTCACCAGGCCATGAGGGATATTTTCATATTTTCTATCAAAATGAAAATTAATGGCTTAAAAATAAGTTGTATTATTTATGGAAGAAAGAAGTTGTGACTAAGTAAGAAAAGTCAGCCATCAGACAAGAATTTCTGGAAGTATTGTTTGGCGTAGGTGATTTATAGACATGGAATACCAACTGAGCTCTTTTGAATGTGTGACCAGTGCCAAATGCTATGATAGCATATATAGGATGGATGTATCCACTTAGTTCTAAACAGTGTCAGATTCATTAAGTGAATAATTCCCCAAGGAAAATAAACACAGCATCCAGTGTCTAGAACCTAAAGAAATAATACCATTCCTGATAAGACAGGAGACACATTGGACATGAAAACCCATTCAAACTCACATTTCCATTTCCTGTCACTTGGGGATGATTGTATGAGCTGATTTGTTGATACTGGAGCTTCCTGGTCTTGAATAAAGATACTCTGGCATACTCCATAGCTTCAGAATTCATCAGAGAGAGGGAAGAATTGAGGCTCAGGGGGTTGGGAAGTCACTGAGATAATTCTCTAGAATGAATAACAGTGGAGAATTTTATCTTGGCTGGAGCCGTAATGACTAGACATTGATTACATGGGCAAAGATTCAGGTGAGTTAGAAGATGGGAGGGAACCATGTGGAATTTCAGTTCATATTGCTTCTGCACTTCCAGGGAAGTAAGATGTAGTTTTATTTAGGAGTAAGGATGGGGAGGAGGTCTTAGAAGTCTGAGAAAGAGAAAGAGAAATGGAAGACATGGGATCT